TGCATTCCCTTGATTCAAGCAGGTCGGGCCCAAGGTTTAAATCAGCATGAGACTTTGGCGCGGTGCTGAGCCTTGCGATGCGACTCCCTGCAAATAGCGTAATATTGTGACAGCAGGCCAACTGCCATGTCAGCGAGCCGTTGCAATATTGTGACTAGCCGGATACCAAGCTTTGTTCACTGCTGGTTTGTTGTGACCAATATGGATGTTTCAATTTAAAAGGATAAAGGATAAAGCATTTGCCGTTGATCAATCCCTTTTTGGGATGCGGCACGCATTCTACTTCCATTTGTACATTCGTAGTGGCGTTTGAATGCGATGTGGCCTATACAATGACTTGCGGGGGCCAGCCGATGTACAAGTCAGTGTTTTTATCCTCCCAGACAAGTCTGGTACCAATTAACCGACCCCGGAGGGATGGAAGGCTTGGTTGGCCCGGGCGACACGACCCAGGATTTGATCCCGGACCGCTCGCGTGGTAAGCGCGCCACTTGCCACTACACCACTTCCGCCCTTCGTATTTATTGGTATTTTTTATTCAACTAAGAGCACTCAAAGCCAACGTTTAATATTTTGTGTCTGGGTAGCCAATGCAATGAGTGAGCCCTAAAGGCTGCGTCATCAGGAAGGAAAGACATGGGATGGCTCGTCGCTTCTAACTGACTAAGCTGTCCAATCTGCGTAGCCCTCAGGTAGGAAAAAAGCAGCAGTCCTTCGCTTCTCCGTGGGCAAACTAGCCGTTGAGTGGACAGAGATGAGCCTTGTCCACAAACGATGTCCCTGCTTTCTTTGCCATATGCCTCTTTATCCTTGAACTGTCCCTTTTGGGTTTGAAATGGGTTAGGGGTTATGCATGGACAACTCTACTTTGATGCATGTTACTCTTGAAGCTGATAGGGCTTGAGAGTCCCGTTTGCCGATTTGATAACCTGTCCGATTACATGGCCGAATTTGACCGGCACATTAACATAGAACCTTATTTATTCGTCCTATAGTATAGGTATTCCGTTATGCAGTAGATGTAAAGCAACGCCTAATTAGTTACTAGTTACTATTTTTGACACCTTCACAAAATGTGACTCATACTACGGTCTCTTGATATTTCGTGACTCTACAGACCTCCCCCTCACTCTGGCGCTTGAACTCGTTCCGGTGGACTACGGTGTTTCCCAGAGAAGTATTGCCTCAATAACTCGATGACTCATCGCATGGCTACCGTATGCCGGCTGCCGGCGTGCTCTTACCCGACAAATATAACTGGTTACTGAGACCGCTGGGGCAACACAAGGGACGGGGCATCGGCGGCAATTTTCCATTCGATGATGATGACGATGAAAACCAACTCTCGCTAGTTCAAATGGCATTTAGTAGCACTTTGGCAATCGATGAGTGGGTCCTTGAGCCGTGCGTCGGCAAACTGCCGCCCGAGAGAGGTGTTATCTTCATGTGCTAATCGGATCTCCCGTGGGGATTCCATCTCTCATTAACGGCACTGCTCATCCAGCCAGACAGCTTCCCTTGCCTACGAATCGTCTTCGTTGCTCACCGACCGACAGGAAGCCTCAAAGGTTCCCGGCTGAAGCCGGAAATTCTCCCAGCGACGAGGCAAGAAATGGACAAGCGGTTCATATGACTCCAATGTAATTCGATATTCGCAGCTGAAATGCGATTGCTCGGCGAAATCGGCGTTTTACTGCTAATAGCTCAGGATTTACTGCTGTCCAGACACAGCAGGCTGTGCCTCGGCAGTAGTGAGTTACTCCCTCCAAACGTCACCGTCGGTGCAGCAATTAGGGGCATTCATCAGGCAAGCCGCAGCCGGCTTTTGCCTCGACAAGCTTGACTGATGTTCTGATGCTGCCGGGATGCAACCGCTCTCGTCATCCTAGAGAGCTGCTGCGTGGCTGTACGACCTTCGTAACATGTCATCAGTGAGAGTTATCCAAACAGCGCGAAGTGGCTGGCAACACAAACCAAACCCGATGATCAAGAGCGGCCACTGATTGGACCCGGGGGAAAAGCGACGACGGAAGAACAGAACACAATAGCTCCTAGTGATGAATCATTCTTAAGCGCCCATTACAATGTGTCCAAAGGGACGTCTGACGGGGCCGCTGGGGTCCGGATGTCCTGTTCGCGTTTCTAATGTCAAAATTTTTCCGTACAGCTCGCCTGATGGTTGTTTTCCTGGCCGAAACGCCGAACTCAGCGGGAAGTCACATCGCACGCGACCGATCAATCGCCATGTTCAACTCACTTCGACGTCGCTATCGCATGTCTGATCTTCAGATGACGACCGTTACCGCACCAGATGAAAAGATTGCGGCCTAAGCGGCAGCCGTGACGCTTGGCATCGCAACAAGGTCGAGCAAGATAAGGCTCAGCCGAGCGGTTCACGCAAAGGTGTTTGGGCTAGGCAGGCTAAAGTATCTTGGTTTCACTGCTACTTCAACAGCCCGAAAAGATCGATCACAGCTGATTTCCACAAGAGTCACAGGAGGGACTTTTAGATTAATTCTGAGTCAGGCACAGCAGTAATTCTCCAGGGCCGGGGCCTACCCAGTGAACATCAGCAAGGAAGCGCATAAGATTGGATTTTGTTTTTGAGAATTGAGGTGAGCAAAAATGGATAAGTATAGAGGGATTGAGGAGCAACCTCGCTTTCATACTGATCAGAGAGAAGTAAAGGAGAAAATTCACTGGTCAATCTCTCGAGTGCGCACGCATTTGATTTTCCACGCCATCATTTGGTGAGCTTTGAATGAGTACAGCTCATACGGATAGGAAATCTACCATCGAATAGGAAGTTGAACCTAATACGCCAGGTCCAAGCTCCTTTTGTTCTCCCTAGCGTTAGTTCTTCGCAGTCGCAGGGCCGCTACGCTGGTTTCGAGGTCCTGGAACAGTTGTGGATCCCCAAGAGAGCTGTTAGCGAGAAAGGAGCAGCCAATGGGGCTAGGAGTCCATGCTTCATGAACCGAATCTCACAATGAGTAACGTTGATGTACTGACGAAGTTCTGTGAGCTTTCAGATTTATAGCGGCTGTTTATTCATCGCGTCTTATTCATAATTCGTTTTGAGGACGGAGGAGACAGACATACAGACAAACCGACACACCAACCTAGCGATTCATATAATAGAAGGAAGAATTTTTGACCACCGTCATTCCAAGCTCATCAGAGGGAATGACAAAAACGAGTGATCACTTATTTTGTTTCATTCATCTATTGAAAATTACCTATTCATTCATGCGCAATTTGATTAGAAGCCCATATTACTGTAGTTGCTTAGTTACAGAAAGGACACTGAACGAAAGCAGAACTAAGGCCTCAGTTACCTTTAGCAGTACGATTTTGATTTCATACCTCATTTATCTAACCAATCAATAGTGTTTAGAATGGCCGAGCCTATCGGCGGATCATCCTAATTGTTATCTATGACTCAACTGGCTACAAAGCGGAGAAAAATTGAAAACAGCTGTTCGTCGACGTTTTCCTGGTAGAAAAAAACCGATGACATGGCTTTCTGCGAACGTTAAGCGCAGTAATGAGAAGCTATAGCTGTTTCTCCACAGTAAGCCATTTCGTAATAAAGTTACTAATATCATCGTAATACCGCTTATCTATGCGTGTGGCCTCGACCACCCTCACAGTTTGAGATATCCGAATGGGCCCCCTGGTGAGCATGGGAATCCTGTTCATGGGCGAACTTCAAGGGTGCCTGCCAAGAAACTATGGGAAAACCAGTCAATATGAGAACTTCATTGAAAGGGGCGGTCACACGAGGCCTGATTGGTCTGTTCCACTTTCAGTTGTTTTCCAAGCTACGAGAATTCCTCCATAGTTTCAACCTGCTTACCTCAACCCCCCCCCCCTAAACCGTAAAGCCCATACCCTAGTGGCACCTCTGAGCGCGAACATTCACAGGAATTAGCTTTTGACGCCGAATCGCGGGCGATAGTTATCAGTGTTTTCGACAGATTGGTTCGATGAGAGCGCTGAACACGCAGGCAAACATCGAAATCGATGTTCTGGCCAAATGTAGCTCTCCAGCCAACATCATGGAATTCGGGAGGAATTAGTGGGAGATTGTTTAAACATACACGCGACAGCATCGGAGGCAAAGAGTCCTACTCACAATAATGAACTCGCAGTCGTCACGTTCAAGGGATTTGAAGTCGTCTAGACGGGTCCGTCGAAGTGACTGAATATCCTTGAAATGCGCCCAGGCATAGTCCTCGAGCAACTGGTCCACGTCAACATGGTTCATTGTCTAACAAAATGTGTAAAAAATAAATCAAAACAAAAACAACATATACGAGCATGGAGGTACGGTAGGTAAACACAGAACGTAGCAACGCAGTAGAAAATCGAATAGAGCGGTTTCAGTCACTAATACGCGGAAATCTAGTGAGAGTTTCGAGCCGCAATAGGTGGAAGCCGGCGATACACGGCTGAAGGCGGGGCCTCCTGAAGGCACCGCCCATCGGAGAACCCCCGCCGACGGGGAGACGTCGGCGCCGCCACCACCGCCACCAACGTCGGACTCAGGTGACAGCCGAAATTGCAATAGTGTCGCCCTCCCACCGAGCTCATATCGCAGATTTCATCTGACGTGTTCCGAGGGGTGACTCACCATTGACGTAAGATAGTTGTAAACATTGCTAAATTTAACTGAAGCACCGTACTCCACAGGAGTTCGCAATACCTGCTCAAGGAATTCCTGCGTCACAGAAGCCTGTTGGAGTGCCATTTTTCATCCATTTCGTCACCTGAGGTCGACCGGCGTTCCCGCTGAGATTACAATCATGGTCTGAAAACCTTCCTCCGGCTGCTTGCGTGATGACGCTCATCTGTGATACCTGCAAAGCATTCCAAAATGACTGTAGAGGTCACTTCATAGCCTACTCTTCAAAAATTGGAAACGGTCCATAGAAAAGTAGAGAACATCTCACGATTAGAAGATTAGAAAGCTAGAGCGATTAGTACAAGCCGAACAGTTTCTCAGAGAATCAAAAGGAGCACTTCTGTTCGTCATTCCCTTTATTTGGCACGAAAAGCTTCAAGTCGTCCGTTCTGAACCCCCAACAGACTCACCAGCGTTTTTTTTTAACGGTCGGATGGATGATTCCATCTACCA